TACTAACTTATCGTAGAGTTTATCGCCGACGATCAGAATCTTAAGCAATTGAATGACAACTGGGATATTCTCGGACCGGACTACCTTGATTTTAATTATACCATCCCCAAAGAAAAACACGCCGAGATTGCTCGTCTCGTTAAGAAACATTACTTTAGTACAAAACCGATCGATCGACAGAGTACGAAGGAACTGATACAAATGTCGAGTGATCGCTTCTTCGTGGTGGATAGCGAGAAGGCTGCGCGAATGCAAGCCAAAGTAAATAGGAATCCAGTCTGGTACTACTATTTCAGTTACAGAGGAGCGCAAAGTTTAAGCGATGCGTACAGCGGTACCACTGTAGATTATGGTAAGTCTATGAAATATTAATGTTTAGGACAAATTTACAATATAGATATGCCTATATTCTAAAGAGCTTTCATTGAAAATGTATTTATTTCATTAGGAGTCTCTCACGGTGACGACGTAGTCTACGTATTAAATACTTCCTGGGTAGACCCAACGACAACACAAAAGGATCGCGATATGCAGAAACAATTAATTGACTTTTGGGTATTGTTTGCTACGGAAGGGTAAGCATGAAATGAATTGAACGTAAAATCACATAAAGCGAAATACTACTAATTCTTCCAAATTTTTCAGAATTCCAAAAATAGCCAATGTGGAATGGCAAAAATTAAATCCTTCGAAGAAAGAACTTCATTATTTGCATATAGCTGGCCCTGATCGAATTAACATGGATAGCAATGCTAATCTTGGAGAGAAGGAATTCTGGAATTCGATTAATTTCAACGAGAATATATTGAAGCACAAAACTCGAATTAATAAAGAAGAGCTTTAAATAATAATTTACAGAACAGAACACAAATGTTTTTTTCTAAACTAGATTTAAATTTTGTTCAAGATTTTGTTTAAAAATTTTAGAGATTATTTACTTTTAATACTTTTATATATAAATTTATATTAAGTTTCTCTTTATTCTGAACGTATAAAAATGATTATCAACTAATTTCCTACAAATAATAAAAAATGTTATACTGAAACTTATTGCTTAGCTTATAATATCGCAACTACCACTTAATGTAATAATAACCAATGTAATTAATGCTTAATGTTCCAATCTTTTGAATTATATAATAAAATATAAATTTTGTTCAACTATTACTATACATAAACAATTATTTTAAAACTATAAAATATGATAAATATTTTAATATAAGAAATAAAAGAACTTAATAAATATTTAAAATCCTCCATTACTCTAAAGAAAGATGTGTCAAATATTTCATTCATATTACTGACTGGAATATGTATTTTATCTATTTAAAGTTTTATTAAAATGTATTAGAAAATTGAAGAATGCATAAATACAGTTAAGATAATTATATTAAAGCTGACAAACACTGCACTTCCGCGCGTCTACGTATTTTACGTAAAATAATTCTATCAATTAATTATGAAATCGAGCAAATCCCCTGAATAAAACACAACGCGTACTATAATTTCTATTTAAAATGTTTAAAAATGCTTAAAATGGAGCATTAAATATATAAACAATTTCAAAGCAAATAAAGCATTAATAACCATAAAGTTCTCTCTTTTTCGAATTTCTTCATATTTATGTATTATATATTATCTTAGCATTATGTGTATGTGTATATATATACAGGGTGTCCCATTTTAAACAACGCACCTCAATAATTCTTCAACGAAGCATTTTTAGCAACAATGTTTCAGACAAAAGTTGTACGGTTTCGAGGGGCACATAAGCTGGTGTTATTAGTTTGACCTTGAATTGTTGCTTGAAGGTCACGTGAAAGTCACCTTCAATTTCTTAAATAGAATCCCCCATATTGTAATATATCGTTTGAAAGGGCATAAAATAAAAAAATTTTTGGCGCAAATTAGAGGTCGATACGTTGACCCATTCAAAAGTTATTTAGGGTCAAAAATTGGCTTTTTCGAACTTTGACCCTAAATAATTCCCGAACGGGTTAATTTTTTTCTTTTTTTGTACTTTTTCAAACAATATACTATAATATAGGGGGGTCCCACTTAAAATTTTTTAGTGTTTTAGGGAGCATCAACTCAAAAATTTCAAATGGAACCTACCTGATTGTAGTATATTGTTTGAAAGGGCATAAAAGAAGAAAATTTCTGGGGCAAACCAGAGGTCGATACGTCAACCCGTTCGGGAGTTATTTAGGGTCAAAGTTCGAAAAAGCCAGATTTTGACCTTAAATAACTTTTGAATGGGTCAACATATCGACCTCTAATTTACGCCAAAATTTTTCTTATTTTATGCCCTTTCAAACGATATATTACGGGGTTATGGAGGGTTCTATTTAAGAAATTGAAGGTGACCTTGACGTGACCTTCAAGCAACTATTCAAGGTCAAACTAATAACACCATCTTATGTGCCCCTCGAAACCGTACAACTTTTGTCTGAAACATTTTTGCTGAAAATGCTTCGTTGAAGAATTATCGAGGTGCGTTTTTTAAAATGGGACACCCTGTGTGTGTATATATATATGTTGCCATATATATATATATATATATATATATATATATGCTCCATATATATATATATATATATATATATATATATATATATATATATATATATATAAAGAATTTGAATATTCACAATCTAATTAACATGGAGCCATTTATACAATGTGATTTATATAAGTATATAAATAATTCAACTTTATAAACATATTAATTTCAGAATTTAATTCTTTATCCTGCTTTAAAACGTTGAAAATTTTGTGAAATTAATATGACTGCTAGTTTAGGAGCAAAACTTACATAAGAACAGAGCAGATTTTCTTGAGTTTCATAAATACAATATAAAAGAAGTTTTAAAATCCCATTGCACCTGATTTTCATATACTAGAAATGTAACAGTACATAGCATTGTAGACTAGTCTCTAAATTAATAACCGAAATATGGATACGACATTCATAATTTATAGCATTATCAAGGATCACTGGTTATAATTTTAACTTATACTTGTCAAAATTCGTTTCCTGCCTTAAGATACCCGTCAAAATAAATTCTGTAGATTGTACTGTAACAGTCTTCGGTGCTTTAGCGAGAAACTTTTTTGCATTTGGCAAATCTTCTTCACGAGACAAAACCACCGCTCTTTCGGGCCATTTGGTCGGTGGACGTACTAAAGCTTTTCCGCCGCAAGACGACACCATATCTATAAAAAATACAAATACGTCAAATATATTTTTTATCCTTAGTCGTATTGTGCTTCGGTTTCGAAGCGTCGTAACCCCTTCTACATACATATGGATCACGCGGATATATGGGACCTATAATTTAACACCGATTCCAAACGGCAATATAGAAGGGCGTTCATCGCAAGATACTCTCGGTGAGTTGCCTCTTCCTTCCGGGAAGTGGCAATCGAATAAAAACCTCGACGATTTTAGTTGAATTTAATCTTTAACTCACTGGAGCAGCGCACAGCTCTCTGCACCACAGATTTTATATATTAATATAAAAAAAAAATTCTATCTCACCTTTCAATTCTTCTATAGGCGGTGGCGCGATGCTCGGCGTCAATACAACGATATAGCCATCCAGCAATTTTTTCTCCTTAGCTTTGTCAAGACTCTTCCTTAGTCTGAAACCGAACTTGGCTTCAGCAGCGGGATCCTTTAATATATAATTTTCCCAAGCTAGAAACCGCGCCGCCGCTTCACTATCCCTCAGCCAATCGATCGCCACTATGGGTAGACCCTTCGCTAACACACATAAAAATTTATACGTTCGGCGAACTTTGTCAGTAACCAAAATGGTGCACTTTGCCGGATCTTCCACTTTGCTTCCACCTGTAAAATAAAAATTGTCAACAATCAGGAAAATACTGTTAATAATGTTGCGGAGGAATTGCACAATTTATTTAAACATATGCTCACCTAACGCTTTAACAATCTTACTATAATCTTCCGTTATATTATCCGTTATACCCGTAAACAAAACTTTATGTCTCATTGCAAATGGTGTGGAATTACTCAGAATAGACGCACTCCTGCGCGTTTTGGAAGGCGTTGAAAGAGATATAACTTCTCCACTTGTACTTGATCCTGAAGCACTCTCATCAATTAGTCTATGAGTATTTTGATTCAACTCCGTCTTCTCCTTCTTTTTCATGCTTGCCGCCTTCGATCTTGAAACTCTAGAGCTTGTCGAAGCGTCACTTTCCGTACTGCCTTGGCTACTTTCGCTAATCATATTTTCTGTAGAAGAATCAAGAGTCAAATTTGAAGAATTCTTAACACGAGTAGGCCTTTTAAATGTTTCCTTCTTTTTCGAGGCTTGTGATTCTGGCAGCGAAAAGACGGAACTTTTAGCAGCTCTTCCACGTTTAGCTCTTGGCGCAGGATTGTCAAGTTGCGTATTATCAGAGTCTTCTAGCTCAGACGAAATACCACTTTCAGTTAAAACAGATTCCGTTTGCATATCCGAATTAGATCGTTTCCTGCGACGGATTCTTAATTCTCTTTGGAATATCTTTGCATTACTGCTTTCTCTGACTGATAAATTCTTATCTTGCACATTACTTGGACCTTTCGCCATAATTCTCTCGACCTCTTGGGATGCATCATCTACGGGACTCTTTATGGGAGTAAGCACAACTCTCAGAACCTTGTCTTGTGACTCACTCGCTTGCTCTTCTGTTACTTTTGTCTGAGCTGTTTTATCTCTCTTATTGCTTCCATTCGCAATTATATCACTGATAATAGGTATCATGACTTGTTTGTCATAAATCATACGCCTGGTTCGTCTAACGTTGAATCCTTCAGAATCGACATTTCCCTCTGTTTCCGTATTTAAGGAAGTCTCTTGAATTTTTTCCAGGGCAATTTTAAATACTGCTTTGTTATCATCGGAACACTTCGTATTTTCAATCATCGAGGGACCTGCACATGTACTCATTTTAGTAAAATTAAGGTTATTTGGGGATTGCCTATCGGTTGCCGTTTTTATATTACTTCTTAAACTACGCGTAGAAACTGGACATTCCTCAGCGACTTGAGCTGTTTTATGTTTCTTCTTATTAATCTGCTCCATGATTTCTTCTACCATACTCGGAGATGTCTTTCTTTTGGAGATAGTAAATTTCGTATCTGACTCCGTTGATTTGTCTCTGTAGGCTGTATTTTTCGCGCAAGCTTCTCTCTGAAGATCAGGCGAACTGTTGTCACTTTGTCTACTAGAATGTCGTGTTATCCTCGAACTGGTCCGCGCAGGATTATTCGATTCGACATCCATACTTTGCTTTGGATCCTCTGAGACATCTGGTGAAACACGAATTTTTTTCCTGCGTCTTTTATTTTGCCGTTTCAGACAACCAAGGTCATTACCTAACATTCTGTCTGCCATTTGTTGGAATCGCTTGTATTTGGTTTCGTTATCGGTTTCACTATCAGTTCCGCTATCCTCAGAAGTGTCCACAAGGCTTGATATTTTAGCAGTCGTTGGAGTATCGGGTACAGAATTTGAATGACTATCAACGGACGGCTCTCTGAGATCGTTTTTCTCTGAATTCCCAACATTCTGTTCGCATGGTGATTTTCCTGTCAAAGATGAACGTTTTTCCCGTTTATTTTTCGCGATATGTCGTTTGGATCTTGTACTCCGTACAGTCGATGTCGATGACGCAGAAGGACTCGCAGGATTTGAGACTGTTCCCGATATTCTAACTGCTGGTAACCGCGTTAGAATGTCATCGTCAATCTCATATAATGTATCCAACTTTTGCGCACGTTGTCCATCTGTTGATGGGCAAGGTATGCAAATCGATGTGTTCTCTTCTGCGTCCTCGACTTTAGCTGAATCTATTCCCAAGACTTCTTTGCTCGTTTCCGGTGCGGCTTCATCCTTCTGTCTTGTTGCTTTCGAACTTCGAAGACTTTTTTCGTTATTTCCGCTTGAGATGGTTCCATTTCTGTTATCATCGTTTAATGTTTCCATTATTCCATCGGATTTGTTTTTCGTCTTTGACAAAATTATTTTTCTTCTCTTATTAGATTCCACATCTGTATCATCATCCGTGGGTTTCTCATTGTCTGCTTTAGATGCCTGCAAAGAATCAACATGTTGACAAGAAATTACATTCTCCTCGAACTCTTGTGTATCTCTTAAAATATTTCTCTTTCGTCTTGTAGTAATAGTAGAAAAATAAATATCTTGCGAATCAGTTTCTGCCGTATTTACATCATTTACTTCAGTCTCTAATAAATTATGTGAATGTTGATCACAAGGTACATGACTTTTCTTTCTTAATTGCTTTCGTGACACGCTATTTGTACCTCTGTTGCTAGCGATGGATTTATTAGTAGGGTCATCGCATTGCGATGATTCCAGAATATTTTCCAGACACTGCGTCGACATGTTCGATACCTCATGAATGTTACTTACATTATCATTACTGATATTATCGTTACTTACATTATTAAACATCTCATTGAGTTTTTGTTCGAGAGTGTCATTTAAATTTACCTGAGGAGAGTCTTTTTTGTGAGTGGAATTTCTCTTTTCTGTATCCTCAACTTCACCAATTACTTGTGTAGGTGCAAGCTCATAATCTATATTTTCACGATCAAGATTTTCTGTTGTACAACAATCGACCGATTTTGAGTTAATAATATGCGTGGTTGTCATATCATCCACATCATTTTGATTATTTTTTGTCGCAAAGTCTTTAGAATTAATAACCGTTTTTGGTGAAGTTTCACGCGATAAAATGAGTTGAGTAGGCGCCACATCATTAACGTCTAACATGTTTGTTCGAGTGTCCTGATCAATGTTATTTATAATTTGCGTTGGCTCTATATCATCAACAGCCCTATCAATTTCATTAGTTTTTTGTGGTTGATTAATCGAAGAATCCGATGTATCCTTAGTCGTAGGATTGTCCAATCGTTGCGTTAGTACATCAAAAATATCTTCAGATTCGACACTTGTGCCAGGGTCATTTCTATTACTTGTATATTCATTAGATAGCTTATTTAAAGTTCCTGAAGATTCATGCTGCTTTTTAGCAAGTTCTGCAACGTATTCCTCTGCATCCGTGTCTGAATCATCGTTGATTTGTTCCAATCGAGGCTTTCCACGCGTTTTCTTCGAAACTTTGCGCATTATAAGCGCATCTTCCTCGTTGGTCTCGGAATCGTCTGACATTAAAGCTTCAAATTTGCGACTGTTGCGTTGAGTGAGTGCTTCGAATATGTCTTCGTCGTTATTCTCTCCGCTGTTCACCGCATTTTGCATATTTACGACGTTACTATTTCTTTCCAATGTTACTTTCGTAAGCGATTTCGGCGTGGACGCATTAAATGCTTGCACTTTTTCTTGCTTATCAATATCTTTGCCAAAGAACTCTAATAAATACGTTGATTCAAGCAAATGGTCGCTCTGATTTAATGGTGAGGAGGTACGATCTTCAACTCCTGGTGAAGATAAATTCAAAGATCCGGGACTGCTGGATCTGGATGACTTCGTAATGTTCTCGTGATTTATCCCATCGTTAGTGGTTTCTACTGTACTGTCTTTATCTTTATCTTTGTTGGCTCGATCATTTTTCTCATTTGCCGTATCATCCGTCACGAATTGAGTTTCCATGTCGGATATATCTCTGTTTTGCTCGCTTGCAATGCCGCCCAATTCAAGTTGAGTTTCCAAGTTAGATATATCTCTGCTTTGCTCACTTGCAATGCCGCCCAATTCGAGTTGAGTTTCCAAGTCAGATATATCTCTGCTTTGCTCGTTTGCAATGCCACCCAATTCAAGTTGAGTTTCCAAGTTAGATATATCTCTGCTTTGCTCGCTTGCAATGCCATCCAATTCAAGTTGAGTTTCCAAGTCAGATACATCTTCTGCGATATAGTTATTATCAAACTTTTGTGTCTCTAAATCGTGAATATCGCGCCTGACCTGAGCTAAATTTTTCTCTCGACCATTATTCTTGCTAATTTCAGATTTCTGAGAATTGCTGCCACCTTTATCAGTATCGTCGGTATAAACTTGCCTTTTCATAGTATAAGTATCCATTGTAACTTTCTTTTTTGTTACATTTTGAATATTAACTTTGCTCGTTCGAGTCTCCATTTCATTAATTTCATTATCGTCTGTACAACTTTGCGTTTCTATATCGTGGATATCCATCACAGATCTGCTAGCTGTTTTATTAATATTTAATTTTGACAGCTGCTTATCAGCTTTAGTATTTGCTTCAACAAAATGCTCGGATGTATCTATGAGGACTCCTTGCGTCTCCATATCATGAATGGAACTTGATGCCATTTTACATCCCTCCTCAAAATTCTGCGTTTCTGCATCAAATATACTGACTTGTTCTTTGCCAATGTTAATATCAGACATGTTCAATGTAGCAATTCGCGAGTCATTGCTTTCATTCAGGGAGGTATTCTTTTTACTGCTTGTAGATTGACATTGTTGTGGAATCCGCGGCCGCCGAAAGACGCTGTTCTCGTCATCTTTCTGAGTTCCAAGAATGACGGATCCATCATCATCCAAACTGGATGAATTGTTCTATGCAAATAAATAGATATATTGCTAATTTTAGTTCAATCAATGCAAATATTGTATGCTAATCGTATGCTAAGATACTTACGAGAGATGAGTCTGGCGTATTCGGAATTATTGTATTCCCAACTTTCTGCCGCGATGGTGCAGGCGTTTCTGGTATCACTATATCATCGGCTGGACGATATGTACGATAAGTCGCATGCACTGTGCCAAATTCAATAACACTTCCATCTTTGAGTTCGTAGAAACGAGTGGGTTGTAATCTTGTCTGTACATATAAAAAAAGATACAATATTATTAATTTGTCTGGAAAACTGTCATAGTACTTTTGTCACAATGTCATCTTAAATAATGTGTTATACAATTAGGAATAATTCTATCAACTAGTCACGTTTGCATATATAAATAATATGTAAATAATATACATTTTCATATTTAAATAAGATTGTATAACAAACATGTCAAACAGTTCGCAAATCAAAATAATAAAGCACCATATATAATAATAAAGTAGCTATATTGATAAATAAAGATCTGTAGTGTCTATTACATTGTTAAGCTTAGTCTTGTTGGTAGAATTTAGATCTGAGATCCAGGTCGATCCTTCGCCTTTATTAGCTTGAATTTCTGCATGTAGTCCAGATACTGTCTAAAGAAAAAGAATCAAATCGTTATAAACATCTTCTCAATATTCGGATGCTTACTGATTGATCTTTTCATATATATATGAATATATATATATATGAAAAATATCTGAAAAAAATGGTATAAAATCTGTGTATTACACAGCCAGAATTAATTTTAAAAAAGCTCTAAATAAATAATATTGAGAGTAAAAACCAAATATTTCCTTCAAACTATCTTTAAGCCATATTCAGATATGTTACTCAATTCTATACATCAATTTATGCCAAATTCTTATAAAAGAATTTGAACATTTTTATATTATACATTTTTATTTTATTAACCAACTTATATAAAAATTATTTTCAATTAATTTCTCATACAAATAATAAAAGATATGTTAAAACTTACTATGTCATTAATAACAATGTCACAGCTACCAAGCCTACTACCAATTTTTGTAGTCCCTGCTTTGATCTGATAGTCTGTGGTACCAATACTTAACATTCCAACCTAAATTATTTAATAAAATATAAAACATTTTGTTAAACTGTTATGCATAAAGTATTATTTAAAAAATAAAATATTGAGGAATAATTCAATATAACGCTAAAACACTAAAAGAAAAGAATCTAATAATAAAAACTTATCAAATATATTAGCATTATAAATTCACCATAATAAAATGCAATTTGTGTAATTGTTTCTCTCTCCAATTTTACATTATCATTAAAAGTAACATTGTTAAAAATCTTATTAAAAAAAAGTATTTAATTATAATTAACCTGCACTGACTCTTCCTCCTCTAGTACAATTTTCTGAGTGAATGATAAGTCCTCGTCCTCATCCTCATAAACTTGGGTGGCCGAGAGATCCATTATTATCAGTATTATTAAATATTATTTATTCGAGTAATTTATGTTTAATCGTCTAGTCGCCACCGGCAAGATTCTTTTCTCGACATAACCTTTACTGATTCTAAAGTTCTCGAAATAATTACACGTGTAATACGATACATATATAAACGAACAAATAATTTATAAACATAAAGACTTCACAATAACACTTAAACAAACAAGTAATTGTTAACACAAAATGTAACAAATATTACATTTGTATTTTTCAAACAATCGACTACGCAGTAATTAATTGCGACTTCTGCCGCCAAACAGGAACCCGACCCGACTCCGAGACTCCGTGCACGCTACACTCATGGTAGAAATACAAGGGTATGCTCATACCGTGTCAGACCACTGCG